AACTTTTCCAAGAAAATATTCTATGAATATTCCATTTTATATATGCTCAAATTCTTTACAATGGCTAATTTGAAACGAGAATTTAATTAATCATGGATAACATTTTATTTTATTAAATCCTTTGATTTCTTATTATCACAGATTCAATTCATAAGAAGAAAGTCTTCAATTAAATGAGACAAGAAATTATTATTCTGCTTTTCTCTAAAGAAATAAGAAAGCTTCTTCTATCCATCTTTTATTTATAAAAAAAAATTCCTATTTCGATGATTTATAATATCGAATAATAAAGCAGTTCTTAGTTCCATATTACTCTCGAGATACTCTTGAGATATCAATCATATCAATTTAAATTAGATTATAGACAATTTCAAGATATTTAATTTTATTTTACAGTATAAAAATTAAACTACGATTTCTTATAAATAATGGCCTATGTATTTGATACTTAATATAGTTTTATCGTGATTTTCACAAATAATTGATTATCATGCTGATTATCCCGAATATACGAACATTATTATAAGAATATCCAATTATAATATTTCTTTCTTTTTTCTTAAATATATTTATAAAATGAATATATAAAAAATATTATGCAAATATTTCATTGCCATTTCCAATCAACCGATTCATATCTATTCATTCAGAAATATTATCAAATTCTATAACAAATATAAATTAAAAAAACAACTTGGAATGTTTAATATTTTATATCGAAGAAGAGAAACTTGGCTTCAATTAAGATGATCGACAAACGGCCGAATACTTAATGATTCCATCATCTCAAAAGTTTATTATAAAGAATAAGAAAAAGACGGCATATAGACAATTTTCCTCTCTCTCTCTCTCTCTCTTTCTCTCTCTCTAATATCTTTCTCAAATTTTCTCTATCTTCTTTTCTTTCTACGTCCCTCTTTGTATCCATTTAACTCTTTCTCTCTGTTTCTCTCCTCCCTCCTCTTCCTATTGCAACCATAAAACGCGCGTCCATTTTTACGCAGCTTTTACGGTACTTAGTCGCGGCTCGTTCTCCACGCAAGAGGAAATCCCTCTTTCTCTCTCTCTCTCTCTCTCTCTCTCTCTCTCTCTCTTTCTCTTTCTCTCTTTCTCTCTCCCCGAGGCTCCATTCCCAAACGTGTTCAAGTGCAGGAAACGTACGACACGGTTGTTGTCCAGGAGCGGCCGGTGTTCAGAGCCAATGACGGCTGTTGGTTCGAGGAAAATGCCGGTGGTGATCGGCGCGGAAGAGGAAGACGAGATACGGAGTACCGGGTATTGAAGCAAGTGAACAGAAAAGTCGCTTGAATTCCTGTATCGAGATCGTGTGCGTGGACTGTCCAACGAGAGAAACATCGCCACGTTTATTCAGAGGCAATGTAGCAATTGTCTTTTCAAATTGGACGAATATTAATCGATCGACGAACAAGATTATCTATCGTAATCTAATCGACGTATAGAAGATTTCTTTGTTTCCAATTAATTTCCAAAATATATATATATATATATATTGACAAGATGTTAGAGAACGCAGCCAGGTGGCCAGGAAACGCTGGTTCGCGGTTGGTCAAAGCTAAGAGCAGTCCGAACGTGTCGAAAGCACCGCTCTCGGTTCCAAGACAGAAACAGATGATGAACCCGCCCGATCAGAGCAGCAGATCGACACTCGCAAGTAAGTCGCCACGAGTGGTAAAAACGGTGCCACCTGTTAGAACGAGTAGCAAGATCGTATCCAACGACTACGCCACCATTCGTCCCGGTTTTTCCGTGGAATCGACGAAGACGCGCGTCACATGTCCGAGCAACAAGTTGCGCGGCCGTTCGACACCGGAAAGCGGCGTCGAATCGACGAGATGCACGTCGAATCAGAAGATAATTCGAAACGAGAAGAGACACGTGACGAGATCGATCAGCTCTTCCTGCACGATCCTCGAGGATCGAGCGCTTCTCAAAAAGGGATTGTCCTACGTCCCTGGAAAATTGCCGAAGAAACCGGAAGCTTTGAGGAAGAAGGCTACCCTAGATCGTTCGGTCAGTTTGGGCTGCGTGTCCGTGGACGCTCGAAACGGTGGAGAGGAGTCGTTCAGAATGAACGGGGCGTACGATTGCGAATCGAGCAGACGGATGACGATGGAGAAGAAGCAAGATATTCCACGGCGGAAATCGATCAATAGATCGGCCAGCTTGTGGAGCGTGCAAGCGTCGAACAGGAACGATGTCCCTGGTAGGAAGCCAAGTAAAATCCCCCTTTTGGCGCATCGAAACATTCGTGTGGGTCGATCTCTGGCCGATCTATCGCAGGTAGATCGAGCCGTGGAGCCGACGATGCAGCCGGTGCCGTTCGACGACGTCGACCTCGATCGTTCTATGGACGAACGTATCTATGAGAATTGTCGCGAGGCGTTCAGCTGCGCCTCGATTGAGAATCGTCAGCCGGCAAGAGCGTACACCAGCAACCTGGAAGAACGTGTCGCTCGACTGATGGCTCAATTGGACGACGACGTCGATGACGACGAGCATGCCCGTGCGACCATGGTCGCGTCTACCGACTGCGTGGACGCTGCTCCCCCNCGTAGAACCAATCCTGTCTACGAGGCGCAAGAGATCGATGTTAAACGGAACGACGAATCCGATAGAAAGATCGGCCATCAACGGTACACCTCGACGGTGATCAGGATCGAAGAGAGTTCGGAGAGAAGGGAAGAATCGACGAGGAAGGTTCAAATTAACGAGAAAAAGAGTAGTAACTCGGCGGAGGTTAAAAACATGACGATGAACTCGGCCAAGGAGTTGAGAAGTCGGATGGAGTACGAGAAGGTGGAGAGGCAGGAGTATGTTATCGAGGAGTCGAAGAAGAAAAAGGAGACGTCGAATATTCAAGAGCTGAGGAAGAACTGGGAGAAGCAGGTGGTCAAAGACACAGAGAGGAAGATCGATCATGTATCCGACGCGAGTTCGAACGCGGAACAGGTAAAGTCCAGTTGTCAGAGGAACAACGAGATCAAGCAGGAAGCGAAGAGTAAACAGTCGGTGGGCAAAAGGGCCAAGGAGATCGAGCATCTGGTGAATTTCTTCAATTGTAAGAACGCAGAAGCGTCGAAGGAGGTGAAAGATCCCTGGATCAAGGCACGATCCACAACTGACGCGGCCACGATAGAACCGTCGATGACCACGTTGAAGAAAAGTATCGATGTTAAAAACATACACGATTACAATGGGTACACTTCGGATGGGAATTGCTCGGAGGACAGTGGCCACATGAGCAACGAGAACGAGATCGAGTGGAAGGAAGGCGTGCAAAGTGTGACTCGGGATTTTGGCAAAGAACCGTTCTTCGAGCGGAACGAGCTTCGTGAGATCGGTGTGTACGACGCTACGTCGATCGTGACCAGGCTAGAACCGGAAAAGAAGCCGTCGGTGGTCGTTCGAGGAAGCGTATCGACTTCGAGCGGTGCTAGTAGCATCGACAGCTGCAAAGGAGAGAACGCGAAAGTTGGCGAGCAAACGGGTAAAGACCAATGGAAAGCTTGCAGATCCTACAACGATGAACGACAGGTCCGTCGCTTAATTATTGGCCTTCTAGATCCATTAGATACTTGTCGAGAATGATCGCTAATTTAATTAAATATCGACGATAAGTTTAACTGATAAAAAGTTCTTACTAACGTATATACTAAATGTATATAAGTTCATATACAAATGACATCTTATTAGTAAATATGAAAATTTTGTTTAATTGTGGTAGGAAGATAAATTTACAGGGTATTTAGAGTGATTTTGATAAATATGGATTAGATATTGAAGGGAAAAAAGATATATGTATCTTTCTTATTTGTGAAATCTTATGATCTATGATATTTAGCTGTAATATCGTTATAAAAATACTGGTTCAATCAAGAAGAAAAACATCGAGTAAACATTTTTTTTTTT